ATCACGATCGCGTTCGACACGGAGAAGCTGAGGGCAGCGTGTCGGCCTCGGTGCTCGGGATCTCGCTCGGTTCTGCCAAGATCAGCCCGACCTCGCCCGTGGACCTGAGCATCAACGTGTACCTGGCCAAGGCGAGCGTCAAGGTGTCGATCCACGACAACGGTCTGTGGCTGGAGGCGCACGCGAGCACGATCTTCGACGGGAGCGCGGACTACGGTCCATCCGAGATCATCCACTTCTAGATAGAGGATTCGCGACGGTCCGTGATCGACCACCGCGATGCGTTTCCGCTTGACTGACTACTCGTCTCTTCAGACTTCCCGGCCTCTGGCTGAGAGGTTTTGTTCGTCGCCTGCGGTCTCGATATATCGGTAAGTATGGCAGCTCGTGGACGGAGCAACTGGCGTTCGCGTGTTTGCAACTCTATACACGTGCGCGCTCGTTCGAGTTGCCGGCGCGAGCTTTCTGTTGCGATGTTTTCTCTGTACTTTTAGTCGAAGGTGCCTCGAGACTCTCGAACAGCACGTTATATGCTCTTCTTGTATGCGCGTAGTATGATCGCTGCCTTAGCTTGTATCACGATGATTCCATTCCTGAGATATGCACACCCTGATAAATTCCAATCACACGCTTGCGTCATTATGTGAGACTCGCTCCGATCGCTGACTGTCCGTTTTCGTCGGAAAACAGGGATGTCCTGATATACCATGCTTTGCCCCCAGAACACCACAGATACAGCCGACCATATGCTGAAATATATGTAGCACCTACCCCCGTACTCTTTCTCGCGTCAACGACGGGCTAACGAACGCATCGGAAACCAATGGCGGCGAGCTAGATTTATATTCACGTGGAATCGGAAACGTTATTCCCAGAAGTACAATCATCGTCTAGTCGTAGTTGTTAGGCTATAATGAACGCGCTCGGATCCAACTCCGTTAGACCACGCGGTTGACCTTTAACAATCAGTATATAGCTTTGGAGAACAACGCAAAGGGGACCGTCCGTACCTTGCCAGTCTTCACGTCGAACGCCCATCCGGTGATCAGTGTGTCGTTCGGAATGAGCGGGTGCTCTTTCAAGAACGCGATATCGTCCTTCAGCGTAGCCTCGATGTCGGTCCACCCCTGCCAGTCGAACTGGTCGGCCGCTTCCGAGAGCTCCTTGGAACCTGGGTCGGCGGCGACGATCTTGTCGCGCATGCTCTCGGTGGTGAAGGTGTTGCCGCCGCAGTGGGTGTGTCGGAAGAGCGCGAGCTCCTTGAAGCCCGTGAGCTGCTGACCGATGACGATGGAGCGGACGAGCTCGCGGCTGAAACGATGAAAGCGTGTTAACGCCTTTGGGGAATATCGTGCGAGTAGCGTAGGACGTACATGGCACCGCCGGCGTTGCGGAGGATTAATGCGTCGCCTTCCTTCAGGCCCAGAAAAAGAGTCGGGCTATGATCGTAAGCGCACGCCGAGTATGACATCGCAGAAATGAAACTCACTCGACGCGGGCATCGAAGCAGGTGACTACAGGTTGAATCAAAGTCAGTAAACACACCCACCTCATCTTGCACGATGTTAGAGAGAACCGTACCGATGATAACAGATTGCTTGGGCAAGATACTAAGATCGGCTTTCTCCTGCGTGAAGCTTTGAGCGTAGGGCTCGTTCAGGGCCGCGAGATCGGTGTAGTGCGCTGTCATGTTGGAGTTTCTGTTGATCCGAGGTCTGGAGGAGATGAGTACCACATCGCTCCCCTTATATTCTGGTCAAAGCCTGTGAAGGGTCGTGCTCGACGGCAGGAAACTTGAAACGGCTGACGTTTCTGGAGAGTACGATGGAATTCGCTTAGGTACAGTAACACTACGAAAGGGCCGAGTCGGATTGTGAGAGACAGGCGTAGCCAGAAAGCCTTGCGACGTATGGGATGAAAGGGCAAGGGATCCGAGTCGGAGGAGCCTACAGGAGTGTATTACGGAGCGAGTATGCCTCAAGGGGTAAAGATGGAATCCAGTGACTGAGACGTGGAGTCCCGAAGGACCCGTGGAAGGACTAGTGGAGTACTTGAGTTATGGGTGATGCTTGGTGTGTTGCACTGCGGCATGTGTTGTGATGAGACGAGCGTCCGAGTCGGACAACCGGCGGCGTATGCTGACTGCGTCAGAGTCCACGCAAGATGACAGAGCCTGTCTCAAGCAGAGGAACTTCGACCAAATTCTGCAGTCGGAAAAGACTAGCATGGTACCTTATCGACCTCGGAGTCCTCCAACGCCGTTATTCAGGTTTATGTGCGAGCTTTTGGTAGCGTTGGGTTGGACAGGCGGTCCGCCCGCGAGCAGACCGCATTTCAAGTCAGGGATAATAGATTCCCTCGGGATGTTGATTCCGGATTTCTGTGCGTGATAGCAGAGCAAAGTTGACCTCGCAAGGTACTTTACAAAGCGGCGGCATCCGACTCGGCGTTCGCCGAAGTCCGTGCACGGCGTCCACCAAATGGGCGCCAACGTCCGACTGAATAGGCTTCAGCGTTCCACGCGTTGAATCAGGCCACCACCCGCACTGCACTCGCCATACAAGATCGTGTCGTATTATAAGTTTGCGCGACAAGATCGAACGACTCGGCTGAACAACACCAATCCCGCCCGGAATGTCCTGGCGGTTTGCAGGATCATGATCACCTCATCGGGCCCGCTGGCAACGTTAGCCAACCAAATGGCGAATAATCGTCCACCACCCGCTGTAGGAATTTGACGACTTGGTTATCTTTGTCAGCAACCCAGTGCATGAATGCCTGCCCATTCGCGCTCTTGTTGTTCATCGACTCATCCTCATCTGTACTACCAACCATGCAGACCCGCGTACGATCTCTCAGTCTCACCCTTGTACTACTCGCACGCCTGCCTTCTGTGCTTGTTTAACAAGCGTGCCTGGATGGACTTCCAACCCGGATGGAGACAGCAAT